GTTTTTGTTCGGTCTCGTGCGTGGCTTTTTCGCCAAAGGGTCAAGGATGCTCCTCGATGGCCCTCGCCGAAGGAAAAATGCACACGTCCGAGCGAGGCCTACCGTCATCGGCCTGACCTAAGGAACGATAAATAAGGAACGAAGCCCCTTTTTCTCCCGGGAGTATAGCGCATAAGGAGCGATAGCTCATCAATAACGAACACGGGACGATGCATAACGCATGCAAGCCTCAGGAACGACGGAGCCCCTTTTGAAAAGTTAGTGCTCCTTATTCAAGCCGCTCACTGTATCCCCCTCGATGGCCCTCGCCCTCGATCGCCCTCACTTATTTTTTGGCCAAATGACCAAGGATGCTCCTCGATGGCCCTCGCCGCAGGAAAAATGCACACGCCCGAGCGATGCCTATCCCCCCCCCCCCTGCCGCTGCCCTGGAAGAGATCCCTCCGCGTGGGCCCCTTTTGGGCCAGCGGCGGCGGCCGGCCTCTGGAAAGAAAGCCCGCGGCGGGGCCGCGGCCGCGTGGGCACTGCACGAGCCTGTGAAAGGGGCCCCAGGACACACACACACACACACACACGCACACGCACACGCACACGCACACGCACACACACGCACCACGCACACGCACCACGCACGCACACGCACCACGCACACACACGCGCACGCACGCACACACACGCACACGCACACGCACGCACACGCACACGCACACGCACGCGCGCACACGCACGCACACGCACACGCACACGCACACGCGCACACGCACACGCACACGCACACGCACACGCACACGCACACGCACACGCACACGCACACGCACACGCACACGCACACGCACACGCACACGCACACGCACACGCACACGCACACGCACACGCACACGCACACGCACACGCACACGCACACGCACACACACACGCACTCACACGCACGCACACGCACACGCACGCACGCACGCACGCACGCACACACACCCACACGCACACGCACACGCACACGCACACGCACACGCACACGCACACGCACACGCACACACATACACACACACATAAACACACACACAAATAAAACATTGTTCCCATATTTTCCCATATGTTCTGGGTTTCTGTCTCCCCCCCCACACAGCCCATAGCTTCCCCTATTTCCTGGGGAGTCGACGATTCATTGTGTCTGTGTGCTTTTTCCCCTCCTGAACCTGCCACACCAGAGAGAGCACCAGCCGAGGCACGAGGGGACCTGTCTGGCCACGACGAGCCGCCTCGGCTTCTGCTGCTCCCACCGTACCTAAGGACCACGTCCCAGAAATGACCTCGAGCGCCCAGAACAAGTCTCGGAACGGCGCCGAACGAGTCTCGCCTCCCAGGGCCCGGCGCGTGGAAACGGTACTTTCTTGGTGCTCGCCATTCTTCCTGGTGGTCAGGGGTAATGTAGGCTGGAACATCACGAGCCTCGGCCACAAGAGGGCCCCCGCGGCCCAAATCTGCGGAGCGGCCCGACAAGCAAATAGCCCCTCCTGGCCCAGCACGGCTGAGTGGCCGCCAGGCCCGCCCCCTGGCGCGGGCCGCCCGTCCCTGAAGCAGCAGGACGAGGGCACAGAGGAGTAAGAAGAAGAAGAAGAAGAACAAGAAGAAGAAGAAGAAGAAAAAGAGGAGGAATAATAATCATAAGAAGAAGAAGAAGATCGGATGCGAATCATTGGGGAGGGGTGAGTGAATGGAGGGGGGAAGGTGCCCTTCGGGCCCGAAAGGCCCCCTTCTTGGCTCTAACGGGCCCCCAAAAGGCCCCTTCGGGACGAGGGCGCCGAGGACGAGATACTGCACAGACATAACTGGAACGAGGCGGATAAAGCAGATTGTGCTTCGGGCCCGCCCCAAAAAAAGCAAAGGACAACAAACACATGTCGGTTCCTGAGGTAGGAGAGGCGAATGATCCAGATTGGGATCAGGATGCTGGATATCCAATAATACCTGCTCTCAACGACCGGCGTGTAAACTTTCGATTGTCCGAGAGTCATGCCGATTGCCTTCGGATGCAGAATGAGGCGAACATCTCGGCGGCAGCGACCCTGGCTTCCTAAAACAAGAGATACTGCCTAAACGTTAGGTTTCGAAGGTCCGCGCATATTTTTTGGGGGTCGGTGTTGTGACCCCCCTGGCGCCTGGCGGCGCCTCCAGGAACGCACGTGGCGCGCTCCGCGCGCCAGGGGGAGGGGGGGCAGTGCCGATTCAAGAAATCCCCAGGGACCTCCCTACGTTTATGTGTATGTCGCTGTTTCTTCAAGATGGAACCAAGATCTAGGCGGCCGCGACAGGAGCGAATAGCCTGGATAACGAAGCAACTCCAAGGAAGGCTTGCGAGAACGGCTGGGAACTGCAAGAACCGACGGGATATGAAGCCGAGGTATGGCAATTCAAGCCAAGGCTTCAGCCAGATCAGGCTGGATTAAGCAGGGGGTCGAACGGGCGAGGATGTGCCAGGGCCGATGCTTGGTCGGAAATCCTGGGAGATGCAACCCGACCCATTGGGCGCAGAGGGGGAGGGGGGGGCATTACACGTATCCGTTCTTGAGGGTCATCTGGTAGCTGAATGCATGTGATGCTCCCCACCCGACCCCCCTGGGCCATCTGCCCATCCTGCAGCCGCCGAAACACTCGCAGAGAGATCTAGGGATCCCCGGGGCCGCGGCCGCTGCAGAGCACTCCAGGGCGCCACGAGAACGCTCCAAGCACGGCCCAAGGCGATTTGTCCTCGACCCGGGTCTCCCAACTTCGCGCTTCAAGCTGCGCGGCCCGCAAAGTATCGTTGCGCTGTCGCGCCGCCCCCCGCACCCTCCTGGGGAGGGACACTACTGGGCCCAGACCGCAACACGTGGCTGCCATCGTACGTTCCCAATCATTTCTAGACATCATAATGATCGTCGTCATTATCCTGATCCTGATCCTGATCCTGATCATCATCATGACCCTCATCGTCATCAGCAGCATCATCATCAGCAGCATCAGCATCAGCATCAGCATCGGCATCAGCAGCAGCAGCAACATCGTCCCTCCCGCAAGTGTGCCTGATGGTGTTTCTCGTCATCGTCCTCCTCACCCTTTTTTCCTTCAAACAACTCCTCCTGCTGCTGCTCGTCCTTTTCAACCGCCTCTGGCATTGCAACCGCCAACTCCACAGCCACGACCTCCTGCCCACGATCGTATACAAGCTGATTATGAATGACCCTGCGCGCAAGGCTTGGGCTGGTTCACTATTGGCACGCTTCGCCCTTGAAAGGGCTGTCAAACGATGCGAAACAGTGCCAGACGCAGAAGCAAGAGGACCGACAACATCACCATTGCGAACAATGATGAGGCACCGCTGTGGGAGGAGGAGGAGGAGGAGGAGGAGGAGGAGGAGGAGGAGGAAGAGGAGGAGGAGGAGGAGGAGGAGGAGGAGGAGGAGGACAAAGTGGGAGGAGGAGGAGGACGAGGAGGAGGAGGAGGACGAGGAGGTGGACGAGGAGGAGGAGGAGGAGGAGGACGACGAGGTGGACAAAGAGGAGGAGGACGAGAAAGACGAGGAGGAGGACGAGGAGGAGGACGAGGAGGAGGAGAGGAGGACACCACCAGCATCTGAGAAACACCAGCTGCTGCTATGTCCAAATCCCAGCATCATTGATAGCAGAGGACCGCCAGGGGCGCGCGCCACTCTCTCGCGCACCCCCTGTGGAGCGAGGCCAAGAGAACACGAACAGGGACAGAGGAGGACCACGAGAATGAGCAGGAGTAGAACCGACCGAAGAGCACGAGCCGCAAAGACAGGAGAGAAGAACGCCCTCCGTCCCGCAGCGCGCACGGCAACGCGCGGCGACGAGGAGCAGGAGCACGAGGAGGGTGACCCTGGGGGGGCCTTCACCTGCTTCAGCCAGCCGACGTGGTCGATCATGAGGAACGTCGCCTCCGACCCTCCCTTTCTGACTGCTTCCCCGCGCGCCCCCCCCCCCCCCCCCCCCCCCAGGGTCCGAACAAGGAGAACGGACGGAGGAGGAGGGGATGGACGAGGGGGACGGGAGGGATGACGAGAGAGAGAGAGAGAGAGGGAGAGAGCTGGGGGGGGAGGATGGCAAGAGGGAGGAAAGGGGCGGCAAGAATGCAAGGATAGAGGATGGAAGGAGCGAGGCAGGAGGAAGGAAGAAGAGAAGGGGGGGAGGGAACAAAGGAGGAGGAAGGAGGACGGAAGGGTGGCACCCCATCCACCTCAACTCCCCCTTCCACCCCATCCATCCCCTCCACCTCAACTTCGCTCAGCGACTGCCCCGCGCTCGTCTTCGGCCTCCCTCTTCTACTACATCCCTTTACCTCTCACTCTGCATCATGCTCACTACACCTGCTCATCCTCTGATTCCCCCTGTCCGCGCGCAGTCCCTCTCTCACTTCCCCCCCTCCCCCTTGAATGATAGTCTGCACTTCAAGGCAAAGTGTTGGTGCCCGCGCAACACTGGAGAACGAGGACAGGTCGAGATCGAGCGGGAAAGAGGGAGGGTGAACGAACAGGTACCGATAACGCCACTCCCTGGACCTCCCCCGGGTGCATTCTGACTAGGATTTCGATGCGAATCCAGCGGTGGCGACGTGGACCCCCCAAGAGGCCCAAAAAGTAAAAATGGGGGAAGGGTAGAGCGATGGTTACCTTTCCTTTCTCTGAACAGTGGCCCATGGGCCCGCAATTCAGGCGCGAGCTCCCTCTTGAAGAGAACCACCCTCCATCCCTCGAGCTCTCCAGATTGCGACGAGGAGGAGCCTCTCGCAGTTCAGGGAACGTATGCCCAGCGGCAGCCCCGCTTCGAAAAGGAGTTGCCCTGCATCTGTGTGGCTGTTGAAATTCTGGTCATCAAACCTTACCTGAGGCGAAGCCAGGACGAGGAGAACATTGGGTGAGGAAAACTCGAGAATCTCTAAGATCTGGCGGCTCTGGAGGATGCCTCGAGCGCCGCGGCCTCCTCGGAGCGCTCTGGAACGCTCTGAGAGTCCGGAACGCTCTGGAACGGATGGATTATCCTCCTAGCCGCGTCCGACTAGAAAGTCTGGAGTGAAAACCGTCCTCTATCCGTGTCGCTGTCGCAAAGAAGATTACACGTGTGGTGCTAGTCGTTGAACCAAAGCTGTGCCGGAAAAAGGTTTGGAACACGTGCTGGCCTCCGTTCGTGTGACTGTTGGAGCGTGTTCAAGCGGGTGCGCGTGGCTCTTGGGCGAGATCCACGCTTGAAACAACTCGGCACTCTATGCGCGAAGCTGCTTGAAAGCTTCCCCAAAAAACGGCACTGAAGCGGGAACCATATTTTCAAAAAACGACTGGCCCTCCATTCGTGAAACTGCTGGTATGTGTTACGACGACTGTGCGCGGCGATGCGGCCAAAACAACATGAACCACCAAACTTCCATCCGTGTAACTGATCTTCGGGAACATCGACCGTGAACAGATCCAAAGCGAATCGCCTGGTCTGGCCACTGACACGCCTGATGGTGCAGCAGGGAGGACTCACGTAGATGGACGAAGGCCGAGATGATACCCTGGTGTGGCCAAGTGCGAGCGGTGCAGAGAAGGAAAAGGAGGATGAGGAGCATCGAGGAGGATCGAGGAGGAGGACGAGGACCTCCCCTCCTCCTCTCCTCCTCCTCCTCCTCCTCCTCCTCCTCCTCCTCGATCCTCGATGATCCTTACCCTCCTCGATCCTCGATCGGCGGGAGGAGGATCGAGGAGGAGGATCGAGGAGGAGGAGGAGGAGGAGGAGGAGGAGGAGAAGAGGAGCATCGAGGAGGAGGAGGAGGAGGAGGAGGAGGAGGAGGAGAAGGAGGAGGAGGAGGAGGAGGAGGAGGAGGAGGGGAAGGACCTCCTCTGGAGGAACAACACAACTGCATAGGCATAAAAAGGTTCGGAGGTCCGCGCAGCTTCTTCTTGGAGTAGCGCCAGAGGCGCCGCCAGGGGGGGGGGGCACCGCTATCCAAGAAATCCGCGCCGGGCCGGCGGCATGAGCGAAGCGATTCAATGAATCCGCGCGGAGCTCGGAGATCCAGGAAACCCGCGCGGAGCTCCGAAAATATGTACGCTCCTCGAGTGTTCCCCTCTTCGAGACCTCGCTCCTCCTCGCCCTCCTCGGTCCTCGACCGCCCGCCCCCGCTCCAGGGAACACTTCTGCAGGAGGTCGAGCCCGCGCTCCAGGGCGGCGTCCCAGTCCACGGGCGCGCAGAGCTGCCTGGGCCGCCGCGGCCGCCGGAATCCGGACCCCTCGGGGGCCCGGCATCGAGCCGAGGGACAACGCGAGGCGGGGGCTGGCTCGGGGGGCCAACATCGACCTGGAATCGGCGATGCGATGCGTCGCCGATAGACCACCCCGGTGACAAACCCGCGCGTTCCTGGGCGGTGTGGGCTGATCATCGGGCCCTTGTCGGCAATGGACTGCCGAGTGGGACGGGGCGTCCCCCTCTGGGCCTAAAACCCCCTAACGATGCCCGTGACCCCTCGGGGATTCAAAACCGAGTTCTCATCTTCCCATTCTTCAGCCTCGATCCTCGATCGATCGCTATTACTATTCGCGTTCAGGCCTTGCTCCCAAGACCCGTTGAGCTCTCGAATAAGAGTTACTGCTGCCCCCATTAGCTGGCGCAGAGTTTCACCCATTTCTGCTTGCGGGTGCCCGAGCTTGATGTCTTGCCCACGTGTCGAACGGCATGTGGCCAGTGAATGAGGGACATGAGTTTGTGAGTGAGTGGCATGAGCACCCGCCTGTGCCGTAAGCGGCCGCCCCTTCCAGGGCATACAGACTTGACTTGACACTGACCTTCTCGATCCACGACCTGTGTTTGTCGATGGTCTTGGCATCTGCTATCTGCTGTAATATCCAGGGGCTTCCACAGACGACTCGTGGATGGCTCCAGAGGTCGGGGGCGTCCTCGCGAGGGGCGCGTCCGAGAAGGGGGGGGGGGGCGCAAATCATGGCCGGCGGTTGGAGGCCTGGAAAGGGGCAGCAACACCGCCGCATGACGAACGAACAACACGCACGCATACCCACAGGGAGGTTGGAGGGAGGAGGACTAGCTATGGGTATGGGTGCGGGCTGTCGGACCCCAGGGGCCCAACCTCCACCCACACAAGCCATCACCCACCTCTTTGCCGGCCCCCGAGAGGCAGGCCGAGGTCTTGAACCCGTTTTGGCCGCCTGGGGGCCCCAGTGTAAAACAGGGCTAGGATCAGGATAAATCGCTCCAGAGCGTTCCGGAGCGCTCTCAGAGCGTTCCGGAACGCTCTGGAGCGGCCGCGGCGCCCAATATATCCTCCAAACCCGCCGATTGTCAGAGATTTTGAGTTATCCCGATCCGATTTTGTCCCGATCTTCGTGTCGTTTGAGGAAACACACTTCGAGAAGGGCCTCCTGAGGCCGCTCCGGCTTCCAAGAGGGCCGAGAAGACCGCGAGAGGCTCGAAGAGGCACTGCGCCGCCAGACTTTTTAGCCCATGGGGCCCCGCCTCGGGTGTTGGCGGCGCGCAGAAGGAGTGTCGCGGGAGGGGGGGAGGAGAAGGCTCCCTATTGGAGCCACATCCGCACCCTGCCCCACCTGAGCCGTCGATGTGATGCAAACTTGAATTCGCCCCTGTCCTGCGCTGCGGCGTTTGGGCATGCTTTTCCCTACAAAACTCCACGACAGCGTCGGCGCCGCAGTTCTGGCTTGACGACGGAGTCCACAAAGCGGGCCGCTGCCATGAACCAGAATCATTGGTTGCTAAGCCTACTGGCCTGGTTTCCGCCCCGGGAAACGCTGACTCCCGACGACAACGCCCGCCCGACGGCCCCGCGCCTTCGCCTTGCCCGCGAAAACCATCCGCCCGAAAACAAACACCCAACGCCCCGCTCGAACCCTTCATGCACAAAAACACTTCTTTACATCAACCACGAACGAATTCGCCTTCCTAGCTGCCTCCGTACCTTACCCCCAAAAAAAATACCAAAAGAAGCGTGGACGAGGCGACCGCAGCACAGAGCGCAGTGGCGAGAGAAACGACGGAAGAAACGCCGACCCGCACCGCCATTGATTTTACCGCGTTGGCATACAAAGTCCGCGCGCCCGTGCTCAGGATGAGGATCAGGGACAAGATGTTGTGGCGAAGCGAAGCGAGCCAACAAGATCTTGTGTATACACATATATATATATATATATGGAGAGAGAGAGAGAGAGAGAGAGAACGAGAGAGAGAGAGAGAAGCAAGCCATACATATATATATATATGTGTGTATATAAATATGGATATACAGAGAGAGAGAGAGAGGAAAAAAAAAAAAAGGCCCGCGCCTCCTAAGCAGGGATGCTTCTAACAAGCCTTCCCTCTCCCACTGCAGCCCTCCTCGAAATCACACGCACACGATTCATGTGGATCCACGCGCGACACGCGGCAACACGGGGCCAGATTTCTGCGTTTGCGCGGTCGCCAGTGTCGGCGCGAACATTGGAATCTTGAGGTCCTGGGGCGCCGCCGCGCCGCGGGAAGCACTTGCGCGTTGGATTCCGCGGGGTGCTGTACCCCGCTCTGCACGTGGCCGATCGGGATCCCGGGACGCTCAGAGATCAGCCCCGGGTGAAAGAACGGCCAGGACGGACACTGCACGAGGCGGGGATGTTGGAGGCGCGCAAAAAAGGGTAGGGGGAGGGGGGAAGGCTTCTTCGAAGCACCCTGCTTCTTAGAAGGCCTCGGCCTTACGTCTATAGAGAAGGCCCGCGCCTTCTAAGAAGCAGGGGTGCTTCTAAGAAGCCTCCCCCCTCCCCCTAGCCCCCTCTGCGTGTTGCCGAGGATGTATCCATATCCGCCGTCTGGGGAGCCGACGTCATGGGACACCAGCGAGCGGTGGATCTGAACACATCCGCATCCACAGCATGCAGGGCTCCCCGAGTATCGATCCCCGACCGCCCAGGCGGCAGTCGTGGATGACTCCTCGACTCGGACGCTGGGGTGGGGTCTGGGGGTCGATGCTGAGCGGTTTTTGGAAGGTCGCTTCTCTCTGTTTCTGGTAACGGTCGTCGGCCCGTGGGGGAAAAGGGGTTCTCCACTCCCCTTCTTGAACGCCCCCCCTCAAAAGAGCTGGCCCCCCCCCCCCTGCTTCGGTTACTCAAGATTCCAACCCCCATCCACGGGAGGCGCCTTCATATTCTTGCTGCCCTCCGCGGAAATTGTCAGTCACAGTCATGTTGGGTTGGCGGAAAATATGGAGCGGCGGTTACGCGGTGATGACGACGTTGGTGGCCAGAACGCTGTCGACTGCGATGTCGACAACAACTGTGACCAAGATGATGAACACCATGATCGTGCAAATGGTGGTGTGGTGGTACAGGCGCATGCCATGTGGATTTGCTTCGGAGGTGTTTTTATTGGGGGCAAGCTGCCGTGCCCTCGTCTGCATGCGTCAATTTGCTTGGGGTCATGCAACTTGCCGTGTCCTGGACAAAACTAACAATACTGCAGAACATGCGCGGTGTTGGTGAAGGGTTGAATGATAGATATCCGTGCCAATCTGGCGATACAAAACGCGCCTTAATATAATTTGACCCCCCCCCCCGTTACAAACAACCCGTACATAAGGACGCACGATGAGGATGCAAGGGCGACCCTGGAAAGTCGCTCATCCTTCCTCCTATGCGGGTTGACTGCAGCTCCGGTCACGCAACATCGCCCGAATAGCCCGGCCCCCCCGTGGGCCCGTCGAGAAGGCGACTTGATCCACCTGCCCTTGAGGGCTGATTAAGAAGGGTGTCTTGAATAGAAAAGAAAGGACTCCCAACCATTGAGGCGAGGCGACTTTGGTCAGGAGGCCAAAAACATCAGGGATAAGGGGTCTTTCCTGCAGAGGTACCAAACCAGACCGCCCAGATGTATCATCCCAACTGCAATGCAGGACGGGGGCCCCAGTGAGGCCACGTCTTCACTGTGCTCACAGGGCTCGGAGCTCCTCCATCCTCGATGCACTCTGGGCCCCGCGCAGCGGCAACTCGTGGGCGGGGTGGGGGCACGTCGGGGCGACAGCGCGCTGCGATCGCCACAGCATGCGCGCGAGCACCGACATGTGGGGAGCGGGTCCAGGCCCCCCCCCCCTTAGGAGGCAACTGCTGGGGGGTCTTCGTCGAAGGACTCGGGAGAATCAGCCCCGATTGGGGGGCTGCTCCGCCAGATTGGGCAGCGGAGTACAGTCGGGGCGTTGACCTAAGGAACCCTACATAAGGAACGAGGCCCCTTTTTTCCACAGGTTAAACTTCCATTTCCCATCGAAAACTTAAGGAAAACCTGAGTCAAGCCGTGAAATACTTAAGGAACGCGGAGCCCCTCCCAAACAAAAAAGGTTCCTTCTTCAGGGCCCCGACTGTAAGCGGTATACAGCCGGATTAAGCAGTACTGAACCAGATCAAGCGGGATTCAGCCAGATCAAGCTGGATTCCGGACCAGGGCAAAGTCAGACTGTGACCTCCCAGGAATGGCAGCCGAACCACCGGACGTACGATCCTTGTCGTTACCCTGGAGGGAAGCGGGAGGGGCTTGGCCCAGGTAAGGACCGTTACGCGCCAGAGGATACAAAAATAATGATCTCTGACTGGGAGGTGCTACTGGCACTGGATCGGCATCGGGGCGCCACCGGAAGAAGCCTCCGGGGGCCTCAGGAGGGGTTCTGCAGTTCCCCGGAAAGACTTCTGCAGGCGGGGCATCCAGCCTGGAGTCCAGCTGACGGGGTCCCCCGGCCCACTCCTCCATCCTCCCTGCCTGTACCCCCTGCTCCCGACTCACTCCTCCTGATCCTGTCGTCATCCCTCCTTAGCTTCCCCCCTCCTCCACCTTCCCGTGCTCCCCACCCCCCCTCCATCCACCGTTGACGGCGCCGGTGTTAGGGATCCCACCCCTCGACTGCCACAATCGAGGGTGCATCAATGGTCAGCTGCGTGGCCAACACCAAGCACACGAATAACCACGATACCTAGTTTTGCCGCATAAGATCAAGTGCCACGCAACGCGATGTGCGACGCGCGGTTCTCTTCGCGGCCTCGTGATGTCACCTTGAAGACAGACAGCTCTCTGGCGCAGCCCGCTGCGCGCGAAGCGCGACTATCTTCGCTCCCCTAGGAGTGACCCAAGATACGCAACTCCTGGGAGGTCTTCGCCAGAACAAGACAGTCAAGGATGTTCAGCCCGATTAAGGGGCCATTGAACCGGATTAGCTCTGGAAATAAGCCGCATTGGGCGATATAAAACTACATTAAACCAAAGAAGCCCAGCTTCCGACGAGGGATATACCAGCGCCAATTCAGAATTCAACCTCCAGGGAGTTGAATCCTACAGCACCTGCATTTGAAATTGATCCCAGCACGGCCCTAATTAGGGTTTGTCGTTTTTCTTGACCGCCTTCGTGTGCAGTTCAACGCAGGGCGGTACAACGCATTGAGGTAACATACAGTGGCAGCATGCAGTGCAGCATTTCAGCGCATTGCATCGCACAGCCTAGCATACAATGTCATTGCAATATCCTACGGCGGTGAAGACAGAATGGCGTAGCTTGGAACGGTGGGGTATAAGATGGCATATCGTATGACTGTATGGCATTGAACATGATTGTACTGAGAAAGCTCAGTATAGCATTGGCAAGCATAGCATAACATCACATGGCATTGGATGGCCACGCATGGTATTGCACAATCGTGCTATGGCAATTGAACGATCAACTGGAGGCCGTGTCGCGAAAACCTGGCCAGTTAACAGCACGCAGGCAATACTTCATTCCCAAAATCAACAAGGGACCCCCTTGGGCAAGCCTGGTCGTGGAATCAACGCCACTTACTATTTGTTGTAATACCCTCTGTTCGAGCAGAAAGCACATGCTCGTTGTTAGTTGTTGATGGTAAATGCTGATCATGTCGCCCAAGCGTCTGTGGGCCGAAAACACGTCATTCTTGTGGGAAGCACCAAACACGCCTCCGACGATGAATGCAGACTCGCATGGAGCGTGGGCACAGCCCGGCGCACTTGCATGGGCGATGGAAATCCGTCTAGACACATTCTCACATGCTTCCCCGAACATTGCCAGCTGGGGCACGGACAAGGTGCGCTGAGCTAGAGTGTGCTAGAGGCTTCATGGGCTGATGAGTCTGGCACATCCGCGCATTTGATACTTGAAGTTCAAGCTGTACACCTAGCTGAAACACAGACTACACGAGCTAAATTGCGGAACCATACTGGAAGACTACGACTACGCCAGGTCCAGGCCCAAAGCGAGGTTCAACCCAACTTAGACGGTCAGTCAAAACTGAGAGCTTACTACTCCACAACTGGCGCTGCAAGTAGGCCAGATCTGGACTCCATCTCTGTGCAAGATCAAATCCACATCCGTTAGAACATGCATGACGCAAACCCAGCAAAGATGCTGTATTACAGTCGGCCCAATCCTGATCCGAAATACTGAGATTTGTCGAGCTCGATTGAGACGAACTGAGCTGAATGCTAGGACAAGTGCGCATGGCAACGCACGTGTAAGCATTCGACTGTTCAATGTCACGTGTGAATTGATCGGTTACGATATGCATTTGTCAATATGAACCCCGAGGACACACTCGGGCCTGCATACGGTGGCGACTCTGGCCCACCCTGGGTATGCCCGTGAACAGGTCGATCTCAGAATCGATGCGTCCATGGAGATTCGACCATTGAAGATCAGAGAACAAACGGGCCCTCTGTTCCTTAGAATCGCACGACCACATGGTCAAAAACACGCAACGAGTTCGGCGTCCAACTGACGAGGCTAAACAACTCCAAACAAGAGCAAAAACGAAACGGGCCGCGGCACGGAAGGCGCCGCCACGGCTAGTCGTCTGAGCCATCGGCCTGGGGAACGTCGTGACGATGCTCTTGATCACTGGGAACTCCTTGCACCACCTGCGTCGAGAAAAGCAAACGGCACGAACGTATGATCTTTGACTACCTACCAAACCACCCCAACCCAACCCGAAGACCCGAATTTGACCCGAATTTTGGGTTGGGGGGGGTACGGATTCCATGTGTTTTTTCAATGTTCCCCGACCCCCCCCCACTGGAAATCGAGGATAAATTTGAGCCTTCGGGTTGGGTTGGGGTGGTCTGGTAGGTGGTGACAAACGGCACGAACGTATGATCTTGTTGCTCCGCGCGGATTTCTTGGATCGGAGCTCCATCCCCCCTCCCTGGCGCGCCGGGCGCGCCGGGGGCGGCGCCGGAGGCGCGGCCAAGGGGGGCCAGCGCAGATGCAAGAATTCCGCACCGAGCTCCGAAACTTTCTTTATGCGATGTGTTCTCGCCTCCTCCTCCTCCGCCTCCTCCTCCTCCTCCTCGTCCTCCTCCTCCTCCTCCTTCTCCTCCCTTTTTCTCCTCAAGCTCCTCCTCCTAACGCCTGCTGCATAGCATCAAACGCATCAGCCCGAGAGGACGCAACGCCGCGCGAATGTACTGTCGGGGATTTTTCCGCTTCCGCACGGGCGCGGCCCGCATTTCTCTCCCGCACCCCTTCGTCGAGAACGGGGCCGCGAGCGCCTGGAGACGAGCGCTGGGAACACGTGTCGGTCTCGACATCCAGCACAGCGATGGCATTGGATCAAGGAACCGTAGGAGGAAAGACACCCATGGCCGGAGGGCCGGTGCAACACCAACTGAGGCTTGGCCTTGGCTGTCACCGCCGCCCTCATCAGATAAGGAATCCCCCACGGTCCGAACCCTCCTGGGCACATTCCTTCACGGACGTCCCCACCGGAATCCCAGTACTGCTTCTCATCTGACTCGCTCGAGCTGGCGAGCCTGACGCCGCCTCCTCACCCTGCTCCCCTTTGCCTCGTCCTCGTCGTCGTCATGCCCCCCCTCCTCCTCCCCATGCGCCTCCCCCTTCCCCCAAGCCGCCCCCGAGGCCGTCCAGGTGGGGCCCGAGGAGATGAGGTCAGATGGTCGCGCCACATCGACGATGCATCGCCCATGCATCGGCGACGTCGGCGGTGCATCGGAGACGTTCGCGTGCTGAGAAGGTGGCTCAAAATCGAGCATCGGCGATGCGGCACGATCCATGAACCCCATACCCGAATTTGGCGGGTTCCTGAAAACCTGGGTCACCCAAACAAATCATCCCACACTGTGTCGCCCGCGGGCGCCAAAAGGTCAAGAACAGCCGGACGCAGGTCAGCAAGCGGTGGCGTGCACCGGGAGCGACCCGAGGCACGAAAGGGAGAATGGAAACAGAGCGCGGAGGGGGACGAGGGAAGAGCCCGCTCAGACCACGCGAGCCGGAAGTCGGCCCCAACAGATCGGCGAAGGTCGGCAGCCGAGACGGGAATAAAGTCGGCTCGGCGGACGCCGGCGGGCTTGCATGCCTCCGGTAGGTAAGGGATCGGAGCCCAAATCGGACTCCGAAGTCGAACCGAATGGTAGGAAGGCACCAACTATACACCAACACCGATCCTGGCCAGGATCACCCTGGGCCCATGATCGGTGTATACGCCCTCCTGCCTTGGGCAAGAAGGCATATACACCGATCCTGGGCCCAGGGTGATCCTGGCCAGGATCGGTGTTGGTGTATACGGAAGCCGTCGTCGAATCGGAGCGGAAGCGAAACGCGCCCGGAGCGGAGGCATCGAAACGCGCCCTGCTTCCGCCGCCTCCCGCAGAAAGCTCCGCCGGCGGAGCCGCCCTGGCTCTGCCGCGGGGCTCCGCCGCCCCCCCCCCCACCGAGGCAGAGGTCCGGCAGCTGCCCGCGCTCCCCCGAGGGGCGGGGCCCTCTCGCGAGCACGCGCCCTTTTGACTACCCACCAGACCACCCCAACCCAACCCGAAGACCCGAATTTCGGGTTGGGGGGGGGTAAGGGTTCCGCACGTGTTTTTTCGACGTTTCCCGACCCCCCCCCCCACTGGAAATCGAGGGTCAATCTGAGCCTTCGGGTTGGGTTGGGGTGATTTGGTGGGTGGCGCCCTCTGGGCGGCTGCAGGAGGGCCCGCTCCGCCACCCCGGGCCCTCCCCGTGCATCTCGGAGGCCGGGCGGGGGCTGGCAAAGCCGCGGCTGCTGAAAAACGGAGGCTCCGGGAGATTGTCGACTTTCTGCCGGGAAGCAGCCCGTTTGCTCTTCATCGGGGGTGGCAAAGAGGGGGGTGTCCCAGAGAGGGGGGTGCAAATCATGACCGGCGGCACGTGCGCGGCCCAGCGGGGGGGCCTGGGACGTAATGAAATAAGAAGAGGCGCCATGAGATCTGAGGAAAAATCATGGCCCGCGCCATGAACCCCCCCCCCCTAATCACCACCCCCCTCATTTCCGCCCCCGATATTTAGTGCGCTGAGCTCTTTTCTGGGAATTTGTCTCATTCTTCCGGGGAGACCGTTTCAGCAGCCACGGATGTGCCAGCGCTCGCCCACCTGCCGAGTCCTTCTCCTCCCTCCCCCTCCTCCACGTCTCGAGCAGGCGATCGACTGCAAAATTGATGTATACCAAGATTCATGTGTTCATGGAATCTTTAACAAAGCCCTCGAATGTTCGTAGATCCACGAACAGTATGCGAATGTGTGCGCGGAGTCGAGGAACAACGACTATGGGGTTGATCGATGTTACAACCCATCCCCCGCTCGAGCGCCATCCCCAGCGTCGCTCCTGCCCGCGCCCTGGCCGACGCCAAGTGCAATGTTCGGGGGGGCAGGACGGTCCCAGGTTTTCGGCTAAGGCCGCGTCGGAGCCGAGGCTGAGAAGCGCCGAGGCCGAAGCCGTGACAGAATACGTTCTGCGGATAGGATGTTGTGTAAGCCTATAGGTCCCCGATGACCTGGGACATGCTTTGCTCCTTTCGGGCCCCTGGAGCAGAAAGGGGCAGAAGCAGCGGGAGGAGGATGCCACTCGCTCCGCTCGCTCCTCAATTCCGGCCGCGATGCCGAACATTCAAGGCCTTGCCCGCATCTATGTCTACGCAACCCGCCTCTTGGCCCGCTGGCCCAGCCGTGCGTTATACATGTGTTGGCTCGCGCAGTGGCGCCTTGATAGCGGCCAGCCTCCAGCCTCAGGAGTGGAGCCGTTATCCCTGCAAGCCCTCTTGGCTTCGATGTCAGGCCTCTCAGGTGGTCAATCTCTAAGCAGCCGAAGCGCATGCACGCCCAGTCCTCTACATGATCATACAATGATGTGCACCGTGCTCGCCCATTAGCATGCACTTGTAAGGTGGTGCGCTCGGAGGTCATGGCAAAAATGCGCTCTCCCCGCATGCGCGCCCATCAGGGCGTGGACGGATGCGTTCGGTCTTCGCCCTCGGTCACCTTCCTTCCATTGGGGTCTGATATGTGCACCGCGCAGCGGTGGGGATCTGGATGGGCCAGAAGCTTCTGGGCACTGGCGCGTTGTTTGCACACAAACACGCGCACTTTTGACGTCAGTGGCCCTTTGTGTGCCGACGTCCTGCACGCACGATCGAAACGTGCCGCCGCCGTGCCCGCCCTGGCTCTGTGGGCATGCGTCCTGTATGTCGCCTGCGGTTCTGCCGGGCGCTCTCCGCGCCCTGGCGCGTGACTGTGATGAGCCAGTCTCCCGCCGTGGCTGCAAGGCCCCCACCGGCACAGCCAAGGCAGCGTCAGCATCGCCCTGCATGGTATACAGGCAGCTTGGCAGTCGGCGCCCATGCTGGCACGCCTCCATGCCTCCGGCGTTCCATGGGGCTCCAGCCCGCTCCGCGCTGCTGGGACTCTCGACCTCGCTCGCTCTGGTCTTGGCCCTGCCTCCAGGGCGACTGCCGACTGCCCGGCGGAGCGCCTGCCGCAGGCCCGAACTCGTGAGGTGCGCCCGCCAGGAGGCGAGCAACTGCCAGCCCCGTGCGCACCGCGTAGGAGCTGTCACACACTTTTCGAATCCGCGGGCGCAACGCTGTGCGAGACGGCCAGGCGCCGGTCAAAGCGAGCGGGGGGCTTCACTGGAAGCTCAAACGTGCGCAAACGAAAGGCGCTGTCACACATGCAGCCCATACCGCCATCGGAAAGCGTCGAGGTTGCAGATTGCATCCAAGAAGGCTGCCAGCTCGGCCCGGTTGCTTGACTCCCTGGCGCCTGGGAGGGGCGCGCTGGCCCCTACAAATTCGCAAGGGGGAAATCACGCCCGGCCACTTCCGCGCAAGTCTGAATATCTCCCCGTGGGGAACCGCCAATGCAAAGCACTCCCATACCACTTCTCACCACAGCACCCGGACATTTCAATGATAGCCAAAATGAATATAACCAATTCAGGATCTAATCTCCCCCCTTATAAACTCACAAAGGGGGCACCACGCCCGGCCACTCCCTCACAATTCTGAATATCTCCGCATATGAGAACACAACTGGAAATCACTCCCATACGACTTCTCATCACAACGCCCACATATGTTAACTGCAGCCAAGGTGAATCGAATTTCTCGTAACGGGAATGTGTAGGTATATGCATATATGTACCCGTATACAGATGCATGTACATCTAAATGTGCAATACAAAATGCATATACGCATACATATACATATGCATGTGTATGTATATGGCTATGAATATCCATGTACCTATTTACAGGGCTGGGGAGACGTCCCCAATACCGACCGAATTTCGACCAGCCCGGGCGCCCAATACGGCCACAAAGAAACCCAATACGGTTCCAAGGCGGCCCCAGAGCGCGCCAAGACGGCCTCATATAGTTCCTCGACAATTCAAGAGACCGCAAAACGCTCAAAAAGGACCAAAAGTAGCTCCAACACGACGGTCCAAAAGGCACCCCTAAAGACGCCCCGAAGAGCCCCAACGTAACGCCAAAGAAACCCCAATGGATCCACCCATTAGCTAAAACGTACATGATTAGCCTTACTCGCTTCTTTGTTTTCCATGGCTCCAGGGCGGTTCAAAAAGCCCCCCACATCGTTCCAAAAACGGACCCACAGGCCCCCACAAAGCCCGAAAAGGGCCCCAATACAGCCCCAAAAAGCCCTATGACGGCCCATGATAACCCCGAGACGGTCCAAGACAGCCCCGAGACGCCCCAAAACGGCCTCAAGGGGCTCCCGAGAGAGCCCCAAGAAGCCCCCAGCAGAGCCCCACGACGGCCAGAGCCACCCGAGAGAGCCAAGGAGGCACCAACAGTCCAAAAGGGCACCACGACGGTCCAGACGGGCCACTAAGAGAACCCGGGGGCGCACAATTACAGGGACTCGCCTCCCACTCCGTTCGTGCTTCTCCCTGTTGTTGTGCCCACGACTGCTCAAGAAGCTGGGGCCCGAAGGGGTCGGCGAACTCGGACCTATTGGCTGGATCCCTGCACATGCGATGTGTTCAATTCGTCACATGGGGCTGTTTCTGGATTACTTATCGCACGGATGGGCTTGCATCCCTGTCATGCACAAACTCACGTATGCACGATGTGTGACGTGGCTATCCCACAAATCGTGTTGTATGGATCTTCAACCGGAGATTGCTATTTCGCTGTTCACTGGCAACTTGCCATGCCTATGTGGCTGCTTTCGAACAGTCAGACTTTTCGCACCATGCATAGCATGCAATTGGAAGGCGCGGTCCAGGACTGCGCCCAGGGAGGCGCTGATAAAATCAGCAGAAACTTCCAGTAGAACCCACTAGCGCTCAAATATCACCAGAAACCCCAAACAACTCTCGCGAGATTCCCGGACAGCCCTCCAATGAGGAGGCCACGCAAGAACGTCTGAAAATGGTAACAGGGACGCGTTCGCAAACAACGAATAACAATAGAGAGAACGCGTGAGGGACACGTGCTGTGTAACAATAGTAGATGCGTGACAACAGTAGGGCGAACGACAACAAGAAACCTTTGTCCATTTGTCGGCGGTGGACAAACCTCCCTTTAGTAAACCTCCACTTAGTGAAAACGGCCTGGGACAGAAACCGACGGACCCGGACCCGAAAAAAATGACGGCCGCGACGCCACCTCGCGAACCGAGAACGGCCGATTCCTGAATCGACGTGTCGGGGTAGGAGGTCTGTCCACCTCCATATTTGGGCCTCCTTTTTTTTCTCTCTCTCTCTCTCTCTCTCTCTTTTTTTTGTCTCTCTCTCTCACCCTTCATCGACGTATCAGGGTAGGAGGTCTGTCCACCTCCATATTTGGGCCTCCTTTCTCTCTCTCTCTCGCGTTTTTTGTTTTTGTTCTCTCTCTCTCTCTCTCTCTCTCTCCGGCGCCCCGCCCGCCGCGTGCAACAACAGTAGATGCGTGACAACAGTAGGGCGAACGGCATCAAGAAACCTTTGTCCATTTGGGCCTTCTTTCTCTCTCTCTCTCTCTCTCCCTCCCTCGCGCTTTTTTTTGTTCTCTCTCTCTCTCTCTCTCTCTCCGGCGCCCCGCCCGCCGCCCGCGCGCCGATCCCAGAGGGCCATGGCGGCCGAGGTGGCCATGGCGCGCAGCGCCACAGCGCCACTGCAATCTTGCATACCTATGTATACACAGATAGATCGATAGATAGATATATAGATATATAGATAGATAGGTAGATAAATACATAGATAGATAGATAGATAGATAGATAGATAGATAGATAGATAGATAGATATATATATATAGATAGATATATAGATAGATAGATAGATAGATAGATAGATATATATATAGATAGATAGATTGATAAATACATATATATATATAGTTATATAGATGCATACATATATATGTAGGTCGATATATATATATGTATATATATATATATATGTATATGTATATATAGATATATACATATAGGTATATACACATATATATATACATGTATATATATAGATGTGTGGCAAACAACACGCCAATGTAACTCGGTCCAGGACCCGGACTACCGTCACAAACACCCAAATAAGGACGCGCGGCAAGGACGCAAGACCCTTGGAAGCCGAAGCTGGGACTTCTGGGGGCGGCGGACGACGAACACCTCAGGGACGCAAGAGCAAGGAAGAGCCAGGACGCCAGGGCACCCGGAGCAACGCCGCGCGTCCTCACTAGGGTTTTTGTTGACTGCACCCGTGGCGCAACCCGTGTGCTGCAGGCTATGTGTGACGAACCAGCAACACACACCCATACCCATAGGGGGGTCGGAGAGGGCTATGGGTGCGCGTTGCCGGATGGGGGTCCCCGCTCGAACGGGAGCGTTCCCCAAGGTCCGACAACCCGCACCCATACCCATAGCGCCGGTCCTCCTCTCAACGAACCCCCCTATGGGTATGGGTGTGTGTGTGTTGCTCGTTCGTCAGTGTGGGGGGTTGGACCCAACGTGGGCGCGCGCGGGTGCCCAAACAAGTGGAAACCGCGGCGGCCTCGGCCGGCGCACGGAGCGCCCACGGGGCAGCCACGGGCGCCCGGCGCCCACCGGGCGCCCACCTCGAGGACGCAAGAGCAAGGAAGAGCAAGGACGCAAGGGCACCCGGAGCAACGCCGCGCGTCCTCACTAGGGTTTTTGTTGACTGCACCCGTGGCGCAACCTGTGTGCTGCAGGCTAGCTATGCGGGGCCGGGCCCAACGTGGGCGCGCGGGCGGGTGCCCAAACAGTGGAGACCGCGGCGGCCTCGGCCTGACTACCTACCACACCACCCCAACCCAACCCGAAGACCCGAATTTCGGGTTGGGGGGGGGGGGGTACGGGTTCCATCTGTGTTTTCTCGATGTTCCCCGACCCCCCCCCCACTGGAAATGGAGGTCAATTTGAGGCCTTCGGGTTGGGTTGAGGCCTTCGGGTTGGGGTTCGGGTTGGGTTCGGATTCCCGAAAAACGAACCCAAGTTATCCCTGACCCGAAATACCCCTGATGATGTGGGGCTCTGGACGCCCGAGTTATCCCGGGTAACTCGGGTCCGGGGGAACTCGGGTTCGGATTCCCGAAAAACGAACCCGAGTTAACCCTGACCCGAGTTACCCCTGATGATTCGGGGCTCTGAACCTCGGCGGCCTCCGCCAGCGCACGCAGCGCCCACGGGGCAGCCGCGGGCGGGCCCGGCGCCCCCCGGGCGGCGACAAGTCTGGGGCGGAGCGAGCCCGCGCGCGCGCGGCGCCCACGAGGCGCCCACGGGCGCCCAGCGGGCGAACCCTCGGCTGGGAATGGACGTCCTTTTTCTCCTCCTCCTCCTCCTCCTCCTCCTCCTCCTCCTCCTCCTCCTCTTCCACTCCTCCTCCTCCTCCTCCTCTCCTCCTCCTCCTCCTCCTCCTCCTCCTCCTCCTCCTCCTCCTCCTCCTCCTCCTCCTCCTCCTCGGACCATCCTCGGACGCCCATTCCCTTTATTTATGTTTTTTGATTTCGCGCGTGGCTTTGTCGCCAAATGAAGAAGGATGCTCCTCCATGGTCCTCGCCGAAGGAAACATGCACACGTCCGAACGACGGCAAGCCCAGCCGGCCCACGGGGCCCCCGCGAGGCGCCCGTGGGCTGGCCGCAGTCTCGCCTCTTCCACCCTCCGCACTTCGCTCCGACTTGGTCTTCGCTGCTGCCGGTAAGGTCCTCCGCTCCTCTCCCTCCCCGCCATGTTTCTACTCGTCCCTGCCTCCCTGGCAAGTGGGCACAACTGGCAAAGACCAGGTGGGACACAAACGGCTTCTCATCTCTGCTTGCTGCGGAATCTGCTGGCATTGCTCCCGGCAGCGCTATTTTCCCTCCATGAGGATCCTGCTCGTCTCCCTTTCTCCACTCTCTTCCAGTCATGCCTCTCCCCGGCGTTCGCATCCCCTTCAGATCCTTGTCCTCCTCCTTCTCTCCTCCGATGGCCTGTCCTCCCAACGGTGGCCCCAAAACGCATTCAAACAATATCCTGTGAGTCCGCCGCGCGCCAGCCAACTGCTTCATAATGTTGGTGGCCTCGCCAAAGACAAACACACTATCCGGAGAATGGGAGATAGCAACATGACAAAGAGAACGCATATCGGATCCGAGGGGAAAGCGGCGGGAAAAACCGACAATAATACTAAAGAGCAGTTGCCACTCGTACTCCAACGTCCCCCCAGAAACAAATAAATGTATCTCGCCCCCTCCCTCTCACTACAGAATGATCCCCGTCCGGTTCTGATATTTGTATATATTCATATATTGATACTGCGCTGCTCACTGACCTGTACTCTGATGTCCATGTTTTTAAAGCCTCAACCGATCCTCGCCACTACTCCCCACCTGACCCTTTCAAGACCTTGAAACAGCCCGCTGCCCCGACAGCCTCTCCAGGAACTTCCGCACAGACGGGGGCGGATACATCGCAAGAGGAGCGGGCCGCCGGAAACGAGGCAATGGGAATGAGTTGGAGGCGGAGGCAGTGGTGGATGGCGAGCAGGGGAAGTAGAAAAGGCTGCGAAGGACTGGCGGCGGGAGGGGGTGAAGAGCAGGAGGTGGAGGATGGAGGATCGAAAGAGGAGGAAGAGGCGTCCAACTAGGAGGGAGACCGTGAACGGGAGGGGAGGGGGAGCAGGAGGAGCACGCGAAGCAGGAGGCCGAAGAGCTAGGGGGCGGAGGCGGACGGGAGAGGTCATCGATCCCCGCAAGGGGCGACATCGAGAAGCATCCACCACAACACGATGAGCGCAAAGCGCAGTCGCCAAGGGAAGCCGAGACATGAACTTCAATCGACACAGTATGCAGAAGAGAAGGCCACCCCTCGTGTCCTCCTCCCGGGAATCCCTAATTTCGCGTCCTCTCGAGCACGCTGCTGTTCAACATGGCATGATCCCTTTTGCTCGCAGTCTTCGTCCGCATATCATGGCGCGCCAGCTCTGCGGCGCACCGCTTCCGTTTGGCCGCGAATCCGATGCGCATCGACTGCGCGATTGGCGGATTCCGCGATGCAGGCCTTCGGCGACACAGGCACCGATAACAAAAAAATGGGCCGACCGCAACTTGGAACCTGGTGTGGCCAGCTTGGGAATACCTCGGCAGGAACGCCTGATCCAAAACGGCTACAGATCCAGCGTCTCGCCAAAGGAGGGGGGGGACTCGGGAGAGGAAGAGGCTTTCAGGCGCTCCCCAACTCACAGCGTGCCGAGCATTGCCCTGCAGGCGAGGTTTGCCCGCCGCGCCCAGACTTCCGAACAGCGAGGAAGGGCGAACCTCCTCTGCAAGCGCAGTGCAGCCCCAAGAGGGGGCAACACCAGACCCGAGTTAGGTAGCTCCAGGCCCAAAGCGAATAGGTCGCGCAAAAGGACACCCCTGTCCCCAGGATAACAAGACACGTCACTAACTGCTCGACTGCCTCCAACAAAAGCGAGACAACATGTAGAACAACAACACACGTATCCCGTCCACGAACAATGCGGAGCCACGAAAGGAACAATCCGTACCACAAGCAACACCCTTCCCGGAAGCACTCTCACGCAACATCCTCCGCCAGCTACTCATGCCATGGTATGGTATGCTTGGTGTGCTGCTGTTCGCTTCAGGGCGCCTCCCCCTTGCGTCGTGCGACGATGTTCGTGTCGGGAGCGGCCAAGAGGGGGGTGTCCAAGAGGGGGGGGGTGCAAATAATGACCGGCGGCGTGTGCGCGGCCCAGTGGGGGGGCCAGGGACGTAATGAAATAAGAAGAGGCGCCATGAAATCAGGGGAAATATCATGGCCCCCGCCATGAAATCCCCCCCCCTAGTCATCACCCCCCTCTTTTCCGCTCCCGATCGTGGACGCCACGCCGCCTCGCCCAGGCTTCCCGTGCCACATGGCCCAGCGCTGAGGCGACCCTCCTCTGGACGACTCGCCTGCAGCCACCCCGCCTCGCCAAGGACTCGAAAAAGCCCTCCGCGAGGCGCCCCGTGCTCTCAGAGCGCACCGGACTCTGGGAGCGCTGGAGCCTGCCCCGAGAACGTCAGGGACCTTCCAGGGCGCTCTGGACAGTCCCAGGGGCTGCAACCCGCTCGGGCGATCCCCGGCGCGCCCAAGCGCCCCCCCCCCCCCCCGTGCGCTCCCGAGCAGTCCGCGAGAACCTCCCCGACGTGTCCCGCGCTCTCCTGGACGCTCCCAGGCGCCCCCAGATGTCAGATGCCCCCACGCGCAGACTGGCGCCCCCACGTGCGATTTGCCAGCTGCGCAGCTCGACTCACTGCCCCCTGAATATATACGTCGTCAGCTTTTGCTGACACACGCGTCTTCGCGATTGCCGGTGACAGATGGCAGACGGAGGAGGAGGGAGAGGACGAGGAGGAGGAGGAGGAGGAGCAGACGGCGCGGGGGCGGCAAACATGGAGGAACGAAGAGCAGGAGGACTGCCGTGAGGAGGGGCCAGGAGAGGCAGCTGGAGGATGCGGCAGTGGAGGAGGAACAGGGGCACGACAGGAGAAAGGAGAGAGGATAAGGGAAAAGGTAACTATGACGATTATCAGCAAGGGAGGTCCGGGGAGGGGTGGGGGGAAGGAAGATGTACCCGTTGGGAAAAAGGTGGCGGGTGCATGTCGGATTCGAGTATCGACTGACACGCCTGCTTGCCGTGTGCGGGGAGTGGAGTGGTGTGGGGGTTGAGAAGGGGAAAGAGCAGGAGGGAGATGAGGAGAAGAAAAGGTGATCAGTGAGAAAGGAACAAGAAAGAGGGGGCGGGATGAGAGAAGAGGATAACGGGCTGGAGAGCGGACCACGAGGAGGCTGGGCATGAAGGCGGCGGCGGTGGCGGAACAGCTCATGGTCTCTGAAAACTCCTCGAAGCAACGGGCGACGACCGCTAGGCGCAGAACGAGCTACAATAGCCCTGGCGCTGACGAAATGACGAAACTGCCCCACACCACCCACCCAGAGCTTCAAGCACAACAAGCAACTGCATAAACATAATCTTTCGGTGGTCCGCGCGGAACTTCTAAAATTATGGCTATGCCGTGTGCTTCGTCTTCGCGCTGAAGGGGGAGGGCGACGACGACGATGACAGGAGCAGGGAGCAGGAGGGGCACGGGATTGACGCGCTGGGTGGCCTGCTCGTTGAGCTTGAAGAGGAAAGTACCCTTCTTGATCGTGGCCATCCCCGCGCATCCAATGATGGTCCGCGCCAGGTACTGGCACGATCATATTTCTACCCTACTTCTCGTCCTCCGCCATCGCGCGCGTCCTCCTTACATCCCCCCCTCTTCTTCCTTCTCCGGCAACCGCTCTGACAGTGCCGCGGGACGCTCTGGGCCCGGAGACCCGACGAGGTGCAGTTCCAGCCGGGCGTGCTTCGTGGATTCCTAGGGAAACAAAAAGTGGCATAAGCATAAAAACTCTGAGGTCCGCGCGGATTTCTCGGATCGGCGCTGTGGCCCCCCGGCGGCGCCTCCGGCGCCGCCCCTGGCGCGCTCCGCGCGCCAGGGAGGGGGGTCCAGCGCCGATCCGCGAAATCCGCGCGGACCTCCGAGTTTTTGTGTTTATGTAACTTTTTGTTCCCCTATTTCCAGCCTCCAGTGACTACCTAGCAGACCACCCCAACCCAACCCGAAGACCCGAATTTCGGGTTGGGGGGGGTAAGGGTCCCACACGTGTTTTTTCGATGTTTCCCGACCCCCCAACTGGAAATCGAGGGTAAATCTGAGCCTTCGGGTTGGGTTGGGGTGGTTTGGTGGGTGGTGATCCGGGGGCCGTGCCCGGGCACCGGGGGCCAGCAACGTGAGCACTGCCCCCGGGGAAAAGCAGGTCGGGACCCCTGGGGCCGCGGACGGAGACCCAAAGTGACCGGCGGAGGCCGGAGTCCGCCTCCGGGCGAGGCCCTACTTGTCTAAAGGGGCCCCAGAGCACACAAGTAAATACACACACAAAACGATTCCCCATATTTTCCTATATCTTCTGGGTGCTCGTCGTCCCGCCCAATTCCCCTATGTTTTCCCATATTTTCTTGCGGACCGACGAGTCATTGTGTCTGTGTGTTTTAGGGGGCAAACAAACCTACCTCGCTTTTGACCACCCTCGCTTACAAGAGATACCAAACGATGCCAAACTACGGCCTGTACTGGTCAGGCCGCTTGACGAGGAGGCGCGTGGTATGACTTGGTTTTGCCTGGAAGCGAAAGCGGGGTAGGTAATTCACGCTCTGAGTTTTTTCCCCTCCTGAAGTTTTCCCTTGTCCAGAGCGGCAGGGTCTGGGCCGGCTCCTCCCCTCCTGGGGCCGCCTGCTTCTGTCCGTCTCCTGCCCTCCCGCCCTGCTTCTGTCCTGCTTCTGTCCTGCTTCTGCCCTGCTTCTGTCCTGGGGCCTCCTGCTTCTGTCCGCTTCTGTCCTGCTTCTGTCCTGCTTGGGCCGGCTCCTCCCCGCCTGGGGCCGCCTGCCTCTGTCCGCCCTCCTGCCCTCCCGCCCCCCCGGCCGTGAGGCCTGCGGCGGCGGCAGCCAAGGGCTCGCAGCCCCGTGCCGGAGCTTGCAGGCCCCGGAGCCTGTTTTTCTTTGGATTCGGGCAAGTTTACTTGCATGGACGGGGGGGGGGGGGGTTCATGGCGCGGGCCATGATTTTTCCTCAGATCTCATGGCGCCTCCTCTTATTTCATTACGTCCCAGGCCCCCCCGCTGGGCCGCGCACATGCCGCTGGTCATGATTTGCACCCCCCTCTCTGGGACACCCCCCTCTTTGCCGCCCCCGGTAAATAGCAAAGAGCCTGTTTTCCTTTGGATTCGGGCAAGTTTACTTGCATGGACGGTCATTTTGTAATCATCATCCTCCATTAAGGAATCGGAGCCCAAATCGGACTCCGAAAACGAACCGAATGGGAATCGGCAGCCATCGAGGTCGAAGCGAATCGGAGCGGAAGCATCGAACCCGGCCCTGCTTCCGCCGCCTTCCGCAGAAAGTTCCGCCGGCGGAGCCGCCCTCGCTCCACCGGAGCCTGTTTTTCTTTGGATTCGGGCAAGTTTACTTGCATGGACGGGGGGGGGCTGAGTCTGATCTGAAGCAAGCCGAAAACAAGTCGACGTGCGGAAATCACGCAAGTCGAAAGGAGGCGTTTGCACGCTCGTGTTCGATTGAAGAGGGGCGAGGGGGGGGGGGGGGGGGCGAACGCCATGCAAGTAAGCTTGCCTGGATATAAAGAAAAACAGGCTCCCAGTTTCCCTCCCCGCCCACTGCCCCTCCCCCACATCCATCCCCAGACCCCCGACGTCATGATTTCTTCGCTCGACCCCCGGAGGTCTCGGCCCATTCCCCCGGGACCAGGTTTCCATCCCGAGCCGTCCAATTGGACGGTGCCGGGGCCGGGGAAGCGCCACCAGAGGCCGCAGATAAGTAATGAGAAACCTCCCCTCGTGCTGTTTTTCGTGACTCGACGGGTTCTCGGTTCCTCTCTCCCTCCCACCAGGCTCCCCTCTCCCTCTCTCTCCCCTCTCCCGCCCGACCTCGCCCCCTCCGACCCCCGCAGGGGGCGGTGGATCGAGGGCGGCGCCCTCAGGGGGTGGGGGGGGGGCAGACACGCGGTGCCCTGGCGTCTTCCTGGTTGACCCAGAAAGGGGGTCCAGCGAAAAAGGTGTGGTGCAATAGATTTGGTGCAATCGATTTGCGGGGTTGCAGTACATTTGGGGCGTGCAGTACATCTCGGGGCGCAAGTGTATTGCTGGGCTTTCGCGTGCAATGCGTTAGTTGCAGTACAATGCAACACCATCCTCTGGCGCTGCGCGAAAATTTGCACTGCAACTGCCCCAAACCTATGGCACCACCCCCTTTCAGCTGGTCCCCCCCTTTTCTGGGTCACCCAAAATTCTTTCGACACGGGGTCCCCGGGAGGCCCGACCCTCGCCCCAGGGCCGCTTCAAATCGCGAATGTGCGGAGGCCCCTGGAGGCCGAACACGGCCCAAAACCTCCCCCCGCGATGGCTTCTCGACGCGAAGCACGCCTGGGGGGGTGGGATGGGGGGGTGACGGGGACGGTGCCCGCAAGAGTGTCCACGCGAGGGGACTAAGCTGGGGGGGCAGGGGGGGGGCCAGAACGCCCGAAGCAGCACATGACCTGAAGCGGCTGCCAAGAGCATCGCTGCGAGCAGGCCTGTCTATGATGCATTTAAAGGGATGTTGGAGCTCGTTCCGCTTTGGCGCCCTGGCCACGCCGATCCACGCATCTGATCTGGCCACGTCGATCACGTCTGGGGGGGGGGGGGGGAGAATGAGGAAAGAGAACTGTGCTCATACACACCGATCCTGGCCAGGCCCACCCTGAGTCCAGAATCGGTGCAGACGCCATCCTGCCTTGGCCGGGAGGGCACGTGCACCGATCCTGGGCCCAGGATGGGCCAGGCCAGGATCGGTGCATGTGCACAGCTCTCTTCGCCCGAGGAGCGTGCCGCGCAGAGGCAGCTGCAGGCCGCGAGGACGAGAAGAGCCACACGGCTACCAGCCTCGAACGTATCCCTATCCCTAAGACTGACACGCCAAGAAGCGATGGCAGTCTCAGGGGTCCGCCCTCAAAACACTAAGGGAATCCCCAAGATTGGCATCGTGATGAGGAGGTGCCCAGCATAGGGATAGGGATATCGCTAACTCAGAACAGACGCCCAATCCCAAAAACGCGGGGGCCAGGACAAAACGCAGACACCGCGAGACTTCGGGGAGGGAGATTTTGGGGTAGGGTTTTACCAGGGTGACGACGACGAACGCAAAACATACCCCGAAATCATTGGCCGATCTTCGAATCCTCGGCGAATCCGCGATTTTGGGATTGGGGATGTGTTTTTTCGTGGTCCGCCCTCAAAAAATAAGGGAATCCCTAAGATTGGCATCATGATGAGGAGGTGCCCAGCATAGGGATAATGCGGGATGACGATTAATAACAAAAATGGGGGAGAACGCTTAAAAAATAGTTTTTCTGCTTTTCCTGCACAAGTTTCTGACTGGAGGAGAACGTTTTTAAAAACATAGTTTTCCAGCCCGCGGCCGGTTTTTACTGATCGTCATCCCGGGCGCCGCCGCGTGAACACGACCCCCGGTCATTTATAAATCGTCATCCTCCATTCGGGATATGCTCCAAGCTGGGAAGCACGGGGCGAGGAGCACGGCAGGCGGCGCGGCCCGCGAGGCCCACGGCCCTTCAAGGGAGCGGGGCGCCGGCGCGTCTGCAGGAGCGAGCCGGCTGCACGGGGGAGGCGCCGCAGCCGGAGCAGAGGCCTGCCTTCGGCGGCGAGCGAGGGGGGGGAGTGGGAAGGAGAAGGCCCTCTCGAACTCATCGAGTCGGAGGCCCCAGCCCCCTTTAATGCGGGATGACGATTGAAAAAAAAATGGGATAGAACGCTTAAGAAAGTAGTAGGCCAGCCTTCGGCGGCGAGCGAGGGGTGGGGAGTGGGAAGGAGAATGCGGACAAGATTCATGTCCATATCCAGTGCCTTTTGGACTTTTTTGAAAGCGGCGCCACAAGGCCGAGGCGCACTGGATATGGATGAAAATCGAGCCTCTAGGGGGCAAATTTATCCATATCCAGTGCGCCTCGGGTTTCTTGGGAAGGGAGCCCGAAACTCCATACTGCACTGGATATAGACAGAAGTATTGCCCGCAGAGAAAGCCCTCTCGAACTCATCGAACCGGAGGCCCCGGCCCCCTTTACAAGCAGCTCCGAGGTCGTTCGGGCAGGCGTGCCTCGACCCGCACCCTGGCGTAGCAGAGCGCGCCTGCAGCGGCGCTGCGCAGGCCGCGCATCTTCACTCCTGGCTGCGAGCGTCCGTGAAGCTTCCGATGCTTTTCCGCGCCGATCGCTCACCGCCTAATGCGGGATGACGATTAATAAAAAAATGGGGGAGAACGAATAAAAACATAGTTTTCTGTCATTTCTGCACAATTTTTGGACTGGAGGAGAACGATTAAAAAAAATAGTTTTCCAGCCCGCGGCCGGTTTTTCTAATCGTCATCCCGGGCACCGCCGCGTGAACACGACCCCCGGTCGTTTATTGATCGTCATCCTCCATTACGTCTCTGCCCCCTCCCCAATGGAGTCCAATGCCGTTGTGGCCGCTCGCCCTACCGCGGCGACGAGGTCACCGAATCCCGCGGCGGCGCCTAGTTGAAGACGGACTCTTCTAACAGAAGATCGAACAGGTCTCAGAAAGGGAAATCGATTCAAT